TTGCCCCATCTAATATGTATAATTGTTCACAAACCTAGCGGAGCTGATAAGTGACCTGGATAATGAACATAGAAAGAGGTTTAGGTCCATGGTAAATGTAGTTAGGATAAGAGAACAGTAACATAAACTTGCGAATAGGATGTAGAGCCTAACCAACCAAAAAAATAGTTTGGTATTGGCCAACTCCGACCCAAGCCTCAAAACTTGGTATCAGAGCATGGTTCATTCTAGGCACCCAAAAATTTAAAAATTACAAATAAAAGACATGAGAAAAAAATCTTAGATATGGAAAAGAAAGTACTAAGTAGGTTAAAAGTCATTACAAAAATTTCTTTAAACTTTTTCTGGAACAAATTCAAATATAAACCATTTTTATGGAAAAACACAACAAAGAGTAGATTGGGAATTACAAAGTTTATTTTTACAAGACATTAAAATCCATTAAAATATAAATATTTGTGTTCTATAGTTGATTGTATAGAAACTAATCACCCTAAAGATCATTTAATAAAGACTATTTTAAAAAGGAACTTTAGAGAATTAGAGTTTAACGAAGATTATTATTATTTTCAGAATATTTACGAAGAAAGGTTTTTATTTTTTGACGAACATAGTATACCTCCAACAAGTTATTACGACTCTGATAATTATTATTTAGATTAAAATTTTATGCATATATTAGACAAAGCTTTTGAAACATTTAAGAAAGACTTAGTTTTTGTATTTAAAGATTATATCGAAGGTTTTTATTATCAACAACTGTGGACTTTTTTAGATAGTGATAATCATCATTATTTAAAACAAAGTTATATACAATTTCCAAAAACAATGATAGATATCATAGTAATAGGTCATAAGAACCAAACAGAGTTAAGACAAATTTTAAAACCTTACATAGAACAATTTAATTTAACAGCTTACGAATATTTTAATTTTGGAGAGTGGTTTGAAGAATAATAAATTTCTTTATGAAACAGAGTGGTTATAAGAAAGTGAGTAAGAATAGATAAATTATTAAAATAAATAAATAGTAATAAAGATTATATTAAAATTACAGAGGAGACAATAGTTAGAAAAGTAAATAAACTTGATATAGAAAAATTACCAACAAAATTTGATATCTAGCAATTAATATTAAGTTTAGAACAAAGAAAACACAAAACAATAGAAAAAGAAATATAATAATTATTATAAAAATTAAATAATAAATATTTTAGAAGAAAAAGTTATAAAAATAGAAAAATTAATACAAGAATTATTAGTTTATGTCAAAAAAACTTTAATTTTGGAGAAGAATTAGAAAAATAAAAGCTTATACAGAAGAGGAGTATAATAAATGTTTCTATAAAACTTTAGATATAACATCCAGAGGAGATAAAGCCATAATAACACAATATAATTTAATAATACAATTATTACTTACTTTGCGTCAAAGAATAACAAATTTAGAAAATCATTTAGTAAAAAGACCAAAAATAGATATATATAATTTAATAGAAGAATTTGATAAAAAAAATTAAAACCTATACAACCGAAACCTAAAAAACAAAAACAATCTTATAGTTTTTTAGTATATAAAAATGAATAATATACCTTTTCCTGGTAACAGTAGAACTATTATAGACCAACCTAGAAAAGTACTAGTTTTAGATCACCTCTAGAGATATTTAATATTAAAAATAGATAAATAAAATTAGAAGAAGAACAAGTATCATGTGTTGGAGATCAAGGAGTAGTTTTAGACTGTATGAGTAAAAAAGATAAAGAACAAATAAAGAAATCTCATAAAAATTATATACTCGCGGGATTATTTATTATTGAAGTAAAAGGACTAGTAAGAAGCAAAACTGGATGTAAGATATTAGTAACCCTTTTTGATAAAAGATGGGGTAAAGATGTACAAAGATCATTAATTTCGTTAACTGAAGCAGACTTAAATAGTGATGTAGATCTCTTTTATTGTACACCCAATATGATATTACCTATAGAAGACTTTTGTAAAAGTATTAAAATAGGACTACAGACAAAACATTTGAAAAATTTACAAGTGGGAGTAATTTAGTGATTACAATAAGATTTATAGGAAAAATAATGCGGAATATTAATATAAATTATAAAGGCAAAAATAAATGATGTAATAGGATATATATCTAGTAAAAATATCAAAATGATAAAACCAAAGGAAATTTCTTCTCAAGAATTAGCAGGGTTAGAATGGAACACTAGTAAATTTTTTGAAGATAAAGAAAATAATAATATATTGGTCCCGAAAAATGAAGTATTTTATACTGATGGTAAAGGAGAAACTTATGTAAGATTCTTAAATTATAAACAAGGAATAAGTAGAGAGGGAGATACAGAAACAGAAACTAGCAGTGAATTAATGTATAGAATGAAAAATTCATATGAATATTATACCAATAAATATAAACATAAAATTGAAGAATAGAAACAAAAAAATATTATTATAAAGAGATAAGATGCTAGGAAAACAAATTGAAAATGAAAAAATAATAGAAGATAAGATAGTGTTCACACAATATCCTAGATTAACAAAAGAAAAATTAGAGGAACAATTAGTCCGACAAGAAAAATTGAAATAGAACAAGTTATTTACCAAGATAAAAATAATATTAGAGTAAGAGATATAACTAAATAAGAGTATAAAAGAGAATATAAAATAACCATAGATAACAAAACAGAAATAATTAATAATTTTATTGAACAAGATAGGTATACAGAAGAAAAAGAGCAAGAATCTGAAAAAATGAAGAAGAAATAGATTTTAAAATTTTGGATTTAAATTTTATGAAGGGACAAGATAGTAATATAACAAGTACATCAAGAACAAATTACACAGAACCTAGAATTTATAGGTCAAGAAATTTACCAAGACAACCTTACAGAAGTTATGATGAAAGCAGAGAAAGTAAATTTAAAACTAGAGGAAAAAGATATCTTGTAGAACAACCTATACAATTACAGCCAATAAAGTTAGAAAATTTTTTAAATTTAACAGCACACAATCCACAATTATGGGATAAAGTAATAGATATTTGAAAAAATATAGTAGTAAATGATTATGTAGTAAAAGATTTTGATCATAATCCAGAAGAAATGTTGAGATACTTAGAAACATTTTTAGGAGAATCTGTAAAAGCTATATGGGAAATATTTAAAGAAGAATATCCACAAGAAATACAAGTTATTTTATCATTAGGAACAAATCCATTTAATTTTGTTAATAAACTACAATTGGATCAAGGATGTTTATCCTTTCTTTGATTAGACGATGGATTTTGAATTGAGGTGGATAGGGTTGGAGCTGAGCTGTCTCCTCTGCTCTGCTTTCCCAAGGACGATCCTCTGACACTCAGACGCATCCAACATATTGGTCTGCTCTGCTGTATGTCATGGCATCCTTTTTTCTACTTTGTTGTGCGTGTTTGTCCTTTTTTGCGCTTTTTAAAACTGTACTCTACAAAAGAGCAAAAAGCAAATGTGAGTGGAATAAAAAAGCAAAAGTAAAGGACAACTCATCACTCTTTTATCTCTTTTTTCTCTCACTATTCCATGCTGGCAGCCGTTCCTTAACATGAACTAACATTTATTGCATTTAAACTAATATTTAGGACTAAAACAAGCTAAAAAAGGCAGGACAATAGTCGTTTTCCACTGAAAAACGTAGATAGGAACGAAATTTCGTCCCACCACTCCACGCGCGAATACGACATTAGGAGTCCTACATTCGAACATCTGACCCAATATATTAAGTCATATCACCATTAATTAAATGTTATTTAGAGGCACATAATTGCTATATTACACCGACGCCGACACGGAATACGACACTTTGACACGATAATTCTGAAAAATGTAGATTCTAACATGTTAGCACAATTTTGATATTAAATAATATTTTTAATTTATGTAGTATATATTATATTTAATATTCAATAATTTAACAAAAAAATAAAGATAAACTTATAATACTCATCAATTTTGCAAAGAAACATAAGATATCTCAAATATTATATGAAACTCAATAAAATAATAATCGTAATCTAACAAATTTAATAGTTAGAACTAAAAACGCAACATTTGAACCCTTTTTTGAATCTCTATAACGCGTATTAGATTGTTAAGAAATGTTAGAGTATCGAGAAATATCGGACACAACACATAAATTTTTAAAGTGTTGGTGCATCATAGCAATAATTGTATAACTAAGTCTATATATTAGAACGAAATCATGTATATTACGAAATAATAATATTCAATTCTTTTCCATTCAATTATATGAAATTACATATTCAAATAAAATACATAAGTTATTCAAATAAACTAAATTCACCAAAGTTCATCTTACCTTACTAAACAAATGGTTATGTCCAGCATGCTAGTTATTAATTATATTATTTATTTAATATTTAGACAATACACTGTTGAAGGGACATATTTATTTCAATTAAGAAAATTTGAGAAATATAATTAAAATAAAAAAATTGGATGATTAAAATTAGACTGATTATAGTAGAACAAAATATTAATTTCATAAAAAATTCTACAAAAAGAGAGTAAATCCTAATGCATAAGCCTTCCTGGCAATTTTACCTTTATATTTTTACAAAGAAACTATTTTTCATATTCAAACATGTGATCTTCAATCACAAGGAGCTACATTTTCAGCTGTTCCAAGACTTAACCTTTGATAAAAAAAAATATTCTACTAAAATATCGAAGTGATAAGGAAATGAAAAAAAAAAATTAATGTTTGGAGGGTCAACTCAATATGGATCCGCCAATACCCGAGTTGAATTAAACCCCTGCTTAGAAGGTTGTTGAACTTATTTCTCTTTCTAAATTTTTGGTATCATATTATTGAAATTAAAATGAGATAGACATCTACCAAAATAAAATAAAAAAAATGAGATAGACAAAAATTGAACTTCAGTAAAACTATATATAAATAACAAATTATTTTATAAAACAAACTGGGATCTTAAATTGAAAGAAATTTCACTATCTACTAATCAAAGGGTGTTACGTATGTACTAGAAAAAAAGGTGTTACTTAAATATGGCCCAAAAGGCCTGTGACAAGGTCCTGTAAGAAATAACAAAACCCATACATTTGTTGAACCCTTTCGCAAGGCTCTTGGTGCTGCAATGTCACCCAGCAAGAAAATCAATCAATACAATAAACATTATATGTTAAGATCTCGGTAATGCTAACACTCATCAACCCAATCAATTTTTGCATTTAACTTGGAAATCCACCAGACAAAAGTAAATGCTTCTTAAAGTCTTACTGATGGCTCAAAAAGTGCACATTGTAGCGTACCACCTTCAATCCATAATTACAGCTTGTTGGAGATTATACCCCTCGTGCAAGCATATATGTCCGTCTACCATTTAACATATGCACTTTATTACAACGACGGAATGCACAGTGCAGCGTTTTCCTCTGGTTCCTCTCTGAAATGGATTAAAGAAGTCATTGTTAGCAACCACAATTTATAATAATACATTACTACCTGAACAATAAACCAATTGTTTCAGGGTTTTGAAAGAAACACTCCAAACTTGACGTTAAAAGAGAAAACAGCTTGCATGAGAGAGCACTGATAACAAGTCCGCAACAGAACACCACTTAAAATTTATCTTACATAAAAATATAAGTTTAGACAATCCCCATGCAGTATTCAAATCCTTATCTTGCTTGGAAAGATTCCATAAAACATTTACCAAAACTCGATAACCATAAACACAACATCTGCAAGAGTTATCTCATACTGAGAACCAGCAGGATTCTTATCCACAATATTAATCAAGTGCATGTTCAAGAATCTGGTAAAATTGTCCTAATTCTCGGCCAAGAATCTAGGTATAATATATGATTACTGACTCAGCGAGCCTAGCACCCAGTCACTCATGAATTTTATAGTTTAATTTAGTGCATTTATTACAACTGCATAACAATCGGACTGATTTTTAATAGGACTCATGTGACTACTGCTTTGAGGACAATGTAAGGTGCAGAAGAGGAATTTGGATTGGCAGTCATAGGAACACAGAATGAGAGTAGAAATAATGGAGACCAAGCTCCGTAAGCACACGTATCTCTCCGTTGAGACTGAAATCATAAAGAAAACGTATGAAAACAGAGAAAATAACAAGAGAAATCTGCAAACACGCATAATATTCCAATCCTCCCAAAACCTCTCCACATTAATTATTGTCTACCCCTCCGAGATCCTTCACCCCCCTTTTATCCTTACTCCTAACCAATTATCTCCTTTTCCTTAGAACAATGTTGTAATCCTTTACAATTTAAATTTCTCTTCTGCCCTTTACTCACATGGTACTCATATGTTGAGGATGATGAGCCTATCAGCAATAGTGAGGCAGTCAATGATGTTGACTCCTCAAAATGGCTTGCAACCATGAAATCCAAAATAGACTGGATGCATCAAAAAAGGTATACCTTGATTCCACCACCTCAAGGAATTGCTCCTATTTGGAGTAAGCGGGCCTTCAAAAAGAAGACTGATGCAAATGACAACATTCAAACCTATATATGTGATCTTAATACCTGCTAGAGATATATAAAACCATTAATGTAGCCTCACCTAACAGCTTAAGTTTTTGGGTTGAATTGGTTCTTTATACGATATCAGAGCCTCCTTGACCAAGTGGTCATGAGTTTGATCTTCACTGCCCCATTTAGTTAATAATTAATTAAGTCTTGTGGTGTTTCTTAGCACAAGTAGACTGGGCCTGATGCATCATCCACCCTTCAAGCCCAATGGGCTCTCGTGTGAGGGGACATGTTAGAGAAATATAAAATCATTAATGTAGCCTCACCCAACAGCCTAAGTTTTTGGGTTGAATTGGTTCTTTACAATACCACCAAAAACATATGACTGAATGGTGGGTAGAAGTAGGAGATCTTTCTTTAGACCTATTGATATTTATGCCTTTCCCATTTATTGAGATTTTATTTCAGGAAATGCAAGGGAGTATTGTTAGCCACTCCTATTCTAGGGCACATGGGTAATATGAGTAAGGGCAAAAGAGGGATTTAGGAAAGCAATGGGGTAAGTAAAGAGGTAAAGTTAGATGCTGGGTGGGAATATAAAGGTAGGGGAAGTGAGAGTGGCAGGCTATTACTGTGTGTGGATTTGGGAGGGACGTTACAGGTCTCTCGAATGGCATATGGTATTTTTCCTTTTTCTGTTTTGAGGAATTCTAGATGTCTACTTCTGTTAAAAGGAGCTAGTCTCCATATTTTCTTAAAGAAAATCCAAGTTCCTATCAAGATTCCTTCCAATTTATGCCAAACTTTTCAAGTAATAAGGATAGTTCAGCCGTTCATCTACAGCATGCTGGAAATACATACCTTTACAAAGTCTGATAAAACTTTGTCAAAATATGCCGCCTTGTGTAGTCACATAAAATATTATGTCATAGTGGAAAAAAATTACATGAGATAAAAGTAAAAAGATTTTATTGCAATGGGATATACTATTTCTTGGATTATTACAGCATATATGCTCGTACTTGTTTGGTTAATTTAGACATGTATTTTATAATATGTTGTATTATTATAATATTACATACATAGTCATGTGGGCATGAACATAGTACGCTAGAGTGCGACCATAAGATCAGATATAGTTCTTTCTCAATCATAAGATAAAGCTAGCAAAATAAGGCGACAGAACATAACAAATTGAAAGAAAAGAGGTACAGTTTTCAAGGAAATGTGAGAAAATGATGGGCCATAGAACCATATCAAGAAGTTAACACACGAAGGGGGAGGGCCCAAGGAAAAATGGTTGTTTACAACAATATGGAAAATGGGGGGAGTTAGTTACAAGGGATGCCACGTGGGAAGGCTATGAATGGAGAAGGGGCTTTGGAAAGCATGAGGGGAGAGGTGGATAAAAGGTGTGGAAGGTGATGGAACAAGGCATGCATTCTTGGTGAAGAGTGAGGAGAAGCGTTGGGAATGGGGATTCTCAATTGCTGGGGATAAAGGGAACACAGGGAGAGTGATCTTCATATTGCATACTCTGTTATTAGTGTCTTCTTATATTGTCATGTATTTTCTGCTTTGAACCTTGTCATTTACTGACTGTCAAGGCAATATCCGGGAATCAATACACCATTAGTATTATCTTTCATTAAGTGCTGGTTGTTAGTGTGAATTATGAAATTGATACCATTAATTTGGTATAAGAGCTTTTCCAATATCCTGGGAGCTTCATGGTACAAACGAGGAAGAAAAATAGAGTAGAGGATATTGAGATGCGTATAGAACACTTGGAGAACATAATGGGTGGAGTGGAAAAATCTATTTGTCAACTGCGAGAGACGATTTTGGAATTCATTGATCGAGTGAACCAAAGAGATGCACGATCAGATAAGGGGAATCGAAGTTGAGGACGCGGTAACAAAGTCATGCGTACAATGCTAAATCAACGCGAAGAGAGAATGAGGAGAGTCGAAGTGCCATATTTCACCAAAGAAGACCCGTACGGTTGGACATTCTGGGCGGAACGATACTTTAGGGTGAAGAGAATCTCTGGCGAGGAGCAAGTGGAGATTGTTGCCATATGCTTGAAAGGCAAGGCGCTCGGTTCGTTCCAGTGGTAGGAACCCAGAAACCCAGAAATTGAATGGGGAGTCTTTCGATCAGCAATTCATCAAAAGTTTCATGTTTCGTCATCAGGAAATCCATAAGAGGCTTTGATGAGTTTAAGACAAATGGGGACAGTGACAGAATACAGAGAGCAGTATGAAGTGTTATCAACACCTCTCAAACACGCGGACAAAGGCATGACGCAGGTGGCGTTTCTAATGGGGCTATGGGAGAAGATTCAGGTTGATATCAGGTTGCATTTCCTCAACGACCTGGGACAGATGATGATGTTAGCACAAAGAGTGGAGGAGAGAAAGAATATGCTGGGGTGGGTTGGGCCAGTGACGAGTCGAACTGGAGTTGGATCAGGAGTCATTAATGAGCAATTGGGGCGGCCCACTTTAACTAATAAAGAAACCCGCCCTGGGTTAAATAATCATATGGGCCAAGGTAGAAGCTGCCCAAACGTAACAGCCCAAGAGATGGGAACCCGGTTTGATGGATCTAATCTGTCCCCCATTGCAGGCAGTGGGGGAAATAACCCTGATCGTGTGCAAGGGGGGAGTTACGGAGGTGAAGGGGCGGCACAGGGCAAGGCCACTGCAGCAACAGTAAATGGCGGCAGCAAAGGATGTCTAACTCGAGGAATTGAATGACATAAGAAGGTGCAATTTATGCTTTAGATGCGATGGCCCTTTCTCCTCAGACCATGTCTATCAGAGCCCCCAACTGCACGTCACACTGTTGGGTGAGGGAGGCAACAATGAAGCGAACGAGGCGAGGGATTGTGAAAGCAAGCCAAATAAAGGAGATGATCCAGCTTAGTGTCCATAGTGTGATGGGACTCACTTCCAATCGACCTCTGAAGTTCGGGGGAAGCATGAAAGGGCACAAGGTGGTAGTATTGGTCGATCACAAAATTCTGTTGAAGGAAGGTGCTAATATACCCAACATCAGGCAATATCAATATCTTCATTACCAAAAAAGGGAGATTGGGAAGTTTATGAAAGAGATGCTTTAAGCAGGCATAATCAGGCCAAGTAGCATCCCGTATTCCAACCCATTAATCCTTGTCAGAAAGAAAGATGAAAGCTGGTGATTATGTGTTGACTATGGGGCGCTAAATCAAATAGTTGTTCCTGACAAATTTCTTATTCTTGTAATAGATGAGCTTTTAGATGAGTTAGGAAGGGCTATAACAAGATAATGATGAGGGTTTCTGCACACACGAGGGTCACTATGAATATTTAGTGATGCCTTACGATGCCCCCTTCAACCTTCGAATCGATAATGAATGAAGTATATAGACCTTATTTGCGAAAGTTTGTCTTTGTATTCTTCTATGATATATTGGTGTTGTAAGCTCTGAGGCAAAATAAGTTTGTTGCCAATTACAAGAAATGTAACTTTGGCCAAGCAGAACTGGAATATTTGGGCCACCTTATATCAAGAGAGAGGGTGAAGGATGATCCGCGAAAACTAGAAGCCGTGAACAAATGGTCTGTACCACGAAATTTAAAAGAACTCAGGGGATTGTTTGGGCTCTCGAGATATTGTAGGAGATTTATGAAACGATATGGGCAGATAGCAAAACCATTAACCTAGCTCCTCAAAAAGGCGCAAAAAGCCTAGTTGGCGAGCTTAAGTGAGCAATGGTATGACTGCCTATGCAGGCTTTATCAAATTTTGAAGAAGTGTTAATTGTAGAGATGGATGCTTCAGGAGTGGGAATGAGGGTAGTTTTGATGCAGAAAAGGCGTCCAATAGCTTTCCATAGCCAAGCTTTTATCTAAAAAATCCAAGACATTGTCAGTTTACGAAAGGGAGCTCAAGACAATTGTGTTCGCAGTATAAAAAGGGCGACACTATTTATGGGAACGTCATTTTATAATCGAACAGATCAAAGAAGTCTCAAACATCTCACTGAACAATGTTGGATAGCTGAAGGGAAACAAAAATGGGTGGTAAAACTCTTGGCGTTCGATTTTGAAATTCAGTTCAAACCCAGTGCAGAAAATAAAGTCATGGATGCTTTGTCGAGGGTGATGGATTGCAGGAAAATCACATTGGTTTGTGTCCAAATTTACCAGTCATGGCTGAGGAACTGCTTAAGGATGCAGCAATACACAAAATTATGACCGAGGTAATGATGGACGCTAAATCTTATATAGGGTATCATGTAAGAAATGTCTACCTGTGGTATAAAAACAGATTGGTACTCCCGAGGACCTTCACTCGAATTTAGGACATTTAAAAGGATAGTAGCTATATTTTTTTGAAGGGGCATGCACAATGATATAAGGGACTTTGTGAAGGCGTGTGGAACCTGTCAATAGCAAAAGTATGAGTCTTATGCCTGCATGCCAATTCCAAGGAGGGAGTGGGAGGATCTCGTTATGGATAGCACAGGAGGCTTGCCCAAGTCACAAGGGGTGGTGGACACCATATTAGTAGTGGCTGACAGATTAACAAAATATGCACACTTTATGACCCTTAAGCACCCATTTACTGCACAAGATGTTGCAGCTGTGTTTATTAAGTAGGTAGTTCGTTTACATGGGTTTCCAAAATCCATTGTCTCATACATAGACCGAGTGTTTATTAGCACCTTCTGGAGAGAATTATTCAAGCTAGCTGGGATAAGATTGAAATTCAGTTTTGCATATCATCCGCAGATTGACAAACAAACAGAGGCGATTAACAGCACACTAGAATCATATCTGAGGTGTTTTGTTAATGGGCATCCTAGAGGATGGGCTAAGTGGATACCATGGACGGAATTTGGTTCAATTTCTCCTATAATAGATCCTTACAGATGACCACCTTCCGTAATGTGTATGGGTGGGATCCCCCACATATTCTACACTTGGATGGCTGTGACACACCTGTCGCTGTAGTAGACCAGTGGTTGGTAGCTAGAAATGCAATACTGGAAGATTTACAATTCAATTTGAAGAGAGCGCAGGAAAGAAGGAAAATACAAGCTGACAAGGGGTGCCGCGAAGTGGAGTTCGAGGTACGAGACAAGGTATTTTAAAAGACACAGCCTTATAAACTATGTTCTTTGGCTAAAAGGCTTAATCAAAAACTAAGCCCACGGTTCTATGGCCTGTTTGAAGTTAAAAAAAGGTGGGACTAGTTGCTTACCAATTAGAGCTCTCTTCATATTCAAAGGTGCATCCAGTTTTCCATGTATCCCTTTTGAAGAAGTCTATCCATCCCGCAGTTCCAGTGTTGAAGTTTCCTAGTTGCTTATCAGAGACGAGGGAGTTTCAGGTTCAGCCTGCTTCTATCTAGAAGGCTGGGATATTACTTAAGGGGCAAGTAGTGTTGTTATTTAAATGGGAGGGATTTCCATATTACAAATGCACGTGGGAAGATATGGAGACTATTCAGGAGCAGTTCCCATCTTTTCACCTTGGGTACAAGGTGAGTCTTGAGGGAAGGGGTATTGATGGGCCCCTGGAACATTATAAAGAAGTTTACACACCAAGGGAGACATGGGGTCCAAGGAAAAAAGATTGTTAACAATAGTATGGAAAACGGGGGGAGTTAATACAAGGGATGCCACATAGGAGGCTATGAATAGAAAAAGGACTTTGGAAAGTATGAGGGAAAAGGTGGATAAAAGGTGTAGAAGCTGATGGAGGAAGGCATGCATGCATTCCTGGTGAATAGTGAGAAGTGTTGGGAATGGGGATTCTCAATTGCTGGTTGTAAAGGGAACTCAGGGAGAGTGATCTTCATATTGCATACTCTGTTATTAGTGTCTTCTTATATTGTGTCATGCATTTTCTGTTTTGAACCTTGTCATTTATTGATTGTCAAAGATCTATGTAGAACCGACACGACACGACACGTGACATGACATGACATGACGCTCCGATTTGTTAATCCTAAAAAAATATGGATTTCGACATGTTAGGACACATTTTAATATTAAATAATATTTTTAATTTATATAGTGTATATTTCATTTAATATTCAATAATTTAACAAAAAAATGAAACTAAACTAATAATACCCATCAATTTAACCAAAAAATTAAAAGAAAATAAATCATTTCCATAAGATTCAATTAATTGTTCAAATTAGACAAATTGTTAAAATAAGACAAAATAAATAAATAAATAAAGACACCAGATCATTCCACTTTAGTAATGAAGTTTAGTCTTTTTGCATCAAATTAAAGCTATTTACAAACAAACTCATCTAATACTTATTAAATGAGAGAAGCTGTGTTTTTTTGAGAATTCATTTTCCTCTCTCATCGAATATTTGTCGTTCGTTGATTGAACCAAATTCATGGGGTCCTCGTTTGATCCAACGGTCAACGACACACCAACCCTTTTCTTCTCTTTGATAACAAAAATTAAAACTCTTTGGCCTTCCAGTGTTTATCTCTACGGGTTCGATTCCTTTGTTTATGTAAAGAACCACTTCAACCCAAAACTTTAAGGTGTTAGGTGAGGATTTTTTTAATGGTTTATATTATTCTCTAACGCTCCCCCTCACGCAAGAGCCCTTAGGGCTTGAAGCGTGGATATTACACAGGCCCAATTTTTTTGGTTTATTTTATTTCCACTAGAAAGTGGGAGGGCGATGAGGATCGAACTCGTGACCTTGTGGTGACTGAGGCTCTAATATCATGTAAAGAACCACTTCAACTCAAAATCTTAAAGTGTTAGGTGAGGATTTTTTTAATGGTTTATATTATTCTCTAACAGTTTGGTTCGATGGACACATAGAGGAAGAGAGCCAAAAGGGAAAATGAGGGTCACCAAGTCTCAGGTGTGGCAACCATGCAAGAAGAAAAGGCTTTGATTTTAGAGACAAAAATACTATTATTTTAGAGAGAGAGAAAGAGAAGGACTTTGAAAAGAAAAGAAAAAGAAGAAGAAGGAAGGAAGGAAGATGACGTCACGTTCGGGGCAAGGTGGTGGTGGCAGCTCGAGGACCCATGTGGGCAATTTCACGAAGGTGAAGTTTGCCCTCTCTTACCAAGCAGGAAGAGCCAAGCGAACGACGACAAATGAACAAGCAACAACGAGCACAAAGAACTACAGACCACGAAGGCAGCAAGAAGCGATGGCAGATCAAAGCGCATATCGCGTGAAGAAGAATGAGAGATAAGTTAGAAATGTTTAGGGTTTAGTTTTTATTAAATGTTATTTTTTTAAAATTTTAATTTTATTAATATATTTTTAAAAAAATTAAAAAATATAATTTTTTTTAAAATATAAAATAAAAAATCTAAAACGCCATTTGACCGTGTCGGACACGACACTCCATGTTTTTTAGCGTGTCAGTGCTTCCTAGGTCAAGACAGTATCTGGAAATCAATACACTGTTAGTATTATATTTCGTTAAGTGTCGGTTGTTAGTTTGAATTAAGAAATTGGTACCATCAGAACATAATGTGTGTATATGCATACAGCGTGGAAAATAAGTCAAAGCAAAAATTAATACTTTGTGGTTATCCACTTCAGCTACTAAAAAGTTTTTATGATAAAAATCTCATCAATTCCAACAAAACTTATATTTCAGAGAACATTGGGGCTACCAAGTGCATATGATTTATTAAAAAAGCACCTACCATATGATTTACTAAAAAAAAATTATGATAATCTCATCAATTCCAACAAAACTTATATTTCAGAGAACATTGAGGCTATCAAGTGCATATGATTTACTGAAAAAGCACCTACCATAGAAAAAAGAAGAGGATCTTGACTTGCAATATAAAAATAACTTTTGACATTAAGCCAATTTTATTGAAGCATCCTGCAGAGATAACACACACACAGCAATTAAGACAACTATGGATAACAGAAAAAGGAGGCACTGGGCATAACCACAATTCTATTCAGACAGCAATCTGTGCTATAAAGTAAATAAGCAGGCATCTATAGGCTAGATGTTTTGAGTCAAAAAAAAAGGTTGAAAAATAAAACAAAGACCAATTAAAGGGAGAAGAGTGCAGATAGATACTGTTTCTTTTCATCGCACAGCTCTAAAAAATATTCATTGGATGACAGAATTCTATGTTTGGAAAGTAAAATACTTAGGAAGGAAACTGATACGATCCTAGCCAGCAAAAGGGTATTCTGTTAGAAGGTGCAACACATGCAAGGAGTGGAATGGATCCAGCCTAACTGACGTGGCTGATGTGGATAACAGAATTGGAGAGATTGTTAAATAGGGTAGTGTGCATTGGTTTAAGGGTATCGGGAATCATATCAGTGACTGGGACCTTTTGGGATTGGGAGAGAGTGACCTCTAGAATTGTCTCACACTATCTTGTATTATTTTTCCTTTACTGTTAAGCATCTTCTAATTCATGTAATCGTCTTTTTCTTGTTAAATTGTCTCTGTTCATTGTCATTGTCCCTGTAATTGTCATTTGAATTCCATCAATATATGAAAAACCTGATTATTCAGGATAAAAACACTTGGTTCTCTGTTATTGATTTATCTTTGGGATAATTGAATCTGAAATATATTGTATATTCAAGTGTGTAAGTCTGTACAAGGAGGCTCTCTATTTATAGAGACTAAAAGACCTAACGGAATGACCTAATGGGCCAAGCCCACAATCTAGACTATTCTAGACTATTCTAATAATAATAAATTAATATTATAAATTAATATTATTTCTAACACTCCCCCTCAAGCTGGTGCGTATATATCAAAAGCTCCCAGCTTGTTACAAATATGATCTATTCGAGGACCTCTAAGTGCTTTAGTGAATACATCCGCAAGTTGATCATTGGAATTGACAAATGTTGTCTCGATCTCCCTTGACTGGATCTTTTCTCTAACAAAATGACAGTCAATTTCTATATGCTTGGTCCTCTCATGAAAGACTGGGTTAGAGGATATATGCAAAGCGGCTTGGTTGTCACAAATGAGTTTCATAGGCCTTTGTTCACAGAGATGGAGTTCCTTCAGCAATTGACTCAGCCAGATAAGCTCACAGGTTGCATTTGCCATTGCCCGATATTCTGCCTCCGCACTGGATCTGGCGACCACAGTTTGCTTCTTACTCTTCCAAGAAATCAAATTTCCTCCGAAGAGAACACAATACCTTGAGGTGGATCGTCTATCTGAAGGAGAACCTGCCCAGTCAGCATCTGAATAACTAGAGATCTCTGAACTCCCTTTATTTGTATATAATAAACCTCTTCCTGGCGCCTTTTTAATATATCGGAGAATTCTAATAACTGCATCCCAATGGGAGTCACAGAGAGAATCAAGAAATTGACTTGCAACACTCACTGCGAAGGAGATATCTGGCCTTGTCACAGTAAGATAATTCAATTTTCCAACTAATCGGCGGTAGCGACTAGGATCTGGCAGTGGCTCCCCCTGTCCTGGTAATAACTTAACATTGGAGTCCATAGGTGTATCAATGGGTTTACAGCCTAACATGTCAGTCTCATCTAGGATATCCAGTGCATACTTCCTCTGACAGATGGAAATGCCCCGCCTAGACTGTGCAACTTCGATCCCCAAGAAATATCGAAGTCTGCCAAGATCTTTGGTCTGAAATTTATTGAATAAATGCTCTTTCAACTGATCAATCCCGGTCTGATCACTGCCTGTAATGATAATGTCATCAACATAGACCAGGAGATAAACACACTGGCCAGAAGAGCTATGCCGGTAAAAGACAGAATGATCGGCTTTGCTTCTGATTAAGCCGAAGGATTCAACAACTGAACTAAAGCGGCTAAACCAGGCACGAGGAGATTGCTTCAGGCCATATAAAGATTTCCGAAGTTTACATATCATTCCAGAACTCTCCCCCTGAGCAACAAAACCTGGTGGTTGCTCCATATAAACTTCCTCCTGCAAGTCACCATGTAGAAAAGCATTCTTAATATCAAGTTGGAGAAGGGGCCAGTGATGAATGGCAGCAAGGGCAAGAAACAGGCGAACAGAAGCCATCTTAGCAACAGGAGAAAAGGTATCCCCATAATCAAGACCAAAGATCTGTGTGTATCCCTTGGCCACTAAGCGATCTTTAAGGCGATCAACAGTGCCATCAGGACCAACTTTAACTATGAACACCCATCGACAACCAACAACAGACTTCCCGGGAGGAGCACGAACAAGATCCCAAGCGCCATTGGAGTGAAGTGCCTGCATTTCATCAAGCATCGTCTGGCGCCACCCTGGATGAGATAGTGCTTCACCTGTTGTTTTAGGGATGGAAACAGAAGAGAGACTAGAAACAAAAGTAAAATGTTGTGAAGAAAGTCTGTCATAACTCAAGAAAGAATAAAGGGGATGAGGATTTCGAGTGGATCGAATACCTTTCCGAAGGGCAATGGGAGGAGTTTCTGATGGAGGATCCGGAGGAGAAGAGCCGACGGGAAAGGGCGATGAGTCATCAAGAGGCAAAGTCGGAGGAGGTGCAGGCTGACGACGCTGGTATGTGAGGAGAGGACGATCTGCAAGTATGGAGGTAATTGGTTGCTCCTCTGGAATAGGATCACCTGCAGCTGGTAAAGACAAGTCAAGAAAAGGAACAGGGAGGACCTGATCAACTTGGAACACTGGAGACGGAGTAGAGTGAAAAGGCTGCTGATCAAGGAAAGTGACATCAGCAGAAACAATATAACGCTTGAGATCAGGAGAATAGCAACGATACCCTTTTTGAAAACGTGTATACCCAAGGAAAATACACTTGAAGGCCTTAGATGTCAACTTGTCTTTACCTGGAGTAAGATCATGAACAAAACAAGTACAGCCAAAAATATGTAAAGGCAGAGGATAAGAAGGTGCTCCGGAAAACAAAATACTGTAGGGAACATCATTATTTAGCACAGAAGAGGGCATGCGGTTGATAAGGAAACATGAGGTGATAATAGCATCTGCCCAAAAACGGAGTGGGACGTTCATATGAATGAGAAGGGTACGTGCAGTTTCAACTAGATGTCTATTTTTACGTTCAGCGACTCCATTTTGTTGTGGAGTGTGGGGACAGGTAGTCTGGTGTATCGTCCCTTGTGTATCCAGAAATTTAGAAAATTCAAGAGACACATACTCTTTTGCATTATCACTGCGCAAGATTTGAATAGAAGCACCAAATTGTGTTTTTATTTCTGCACAAAACTTTTGATAAATTGAAAATAACTCAGAACGATTTTTCATTAAATAAACCCAAGTGCAACGGGAGAAATCATCAATAAAGGTGACAAAATACTGAAAACCCAAAACAGACGTTGTTCTACTCGGACCCCAAATATCAGAATGAACAATAGAAAAAGGAGCATCAGCTCTTTTATTGACTCTATTAGCAAAGAAGGAGCGAGTGTGTTTTCCTTGCTGACAAGAATGACAGTTTAAAGACTTAAGATTGGATAAAAAAGGAACCATATGCTGAAGCTTGGAGAGGTTTGGATGACCCAGACGGCTGTGAATTAGCTCAGGAGACTCTGTGAGAGAACAAGCTACTGGAGAAGGTGGTGCAATCAGATAGTAGAGACCTCGTGACTCAACGCCTGCTCCAATCGTCTTCCCCGTACCCGAATCCTGCATAGAAAAGGATTGTTTAGAGAAGATAATAGTACATGAAAGAGAATGAATCAACTGGCTAACAGAGATTAAATTAAAAGGAATGCCAGGTATATAATAAACTGAACTCAAAGTTAAAAAAGGAGTTGGTTTGGCTTCCCCAATTCCACGAGCAGGAGCCTTAGTGCCATCAGCAAGAGTGACAGGGGGTAGGTTATTAGAATAAGAAAGTGAAGTGAAGAGATCTTTATTACCACAAATATGATGAGTAGCACCTGAGTCTATTATCCAGGGTCCAAGAGATGATTGATAAAAACAAGCAACGTGATTACCAGTGTCTTGAGTAGGATGCTGAGAAGAAACCTTCTTGAGAAGTGCCTCATAGTCGGCACTTGAAAGAGTTACTAATCCAGTTGAAGGTGGCGTAACATCATTTTGAGCAAAGTTGGCAGTCGGTGGCTTCAAATGAGGGTACTTCCTATAGCAGCGTTCTTCAAAATGCCCAAGATTCTGGCAATAATTGCAACGAGGCCTTTGTCTGCGACCGCGTCCACTGTTCCAATTGGAATCACGGGCCCGAGAAAAGAATGGAGATGGGGTAGTATCGGAGATGATGCCAGTCGTGTTTTTGGACGTATTATTTGAGCCCTCCATCACAAAATAAAAGGAGACGACCAGAAAAAAGAAAAGAACTACAAGAAAGCAAGAAATCGCGCAAAAACGTTGCACAAAAGTGTCCAAACAGCGGGTTTTTCACTGATATCTTTCAAACGGATGGGACCCACAACGAACGGAGACCAGATCTGGAAAGAGGGGGAGGAGGCGAGCAAGATGGTGGTGGTCCGGCCTGGAACGGTGGCCGGACGGTGGCTCACGCGCCGGAACAGTGGTTCGGCCGCCGGAGACTTCCACCGGCGCGTGGCGGCGCGTGGATGCTCCGATCAACACGCGGCTTGGACAGACAGGGTCGCCTCCCTGAGCCGCTCCTGATCGCGTGGTGGTTGGTCGGAAAAGTCGCCGGAAAAGCAGTCTGACGGCGGTGAACAGTGGCGGACGGTGGTTTTCTGGCGGTTTCCGGCGATGAACGGAGGCTGACGATCTTTTTCCTGATGATACGAGGTTGAGGACAAAAAATTTGTGACTAAATAACGGTTAGGTGTGAAAGGATGGTTGCCGGTATGATGCACGGCAGTAAAAAGAAAGGAAAAGATATATATGCGGAAGTCTGTACAAGGAGGCTCTCTATTTATAGAGACTAAAAGACCTAACGGAATGACCTAATGGGCCAAGCCCACAATCTAGACTATTCTAGACTATTCTAATAATAATAAATTAATATTATAAATTAATATTATTTCTAACAGGGATGAAGGTCCGTAACAATTGGTATCAGAGCTATCCGATGCGGTAGCTTTGAACCACACCAATAGAAAAAAAAAATGGAAAACAAATCTGAAAATTGGAGGAAAAGCAAAATGCAATGGGAATATAGATCTGAAGAATGGAAGAAGGGAGAGTGTCGGGAAGTGTCGAAGTGTCTATGAGTGTCGGGAAGTGTCGGACACGACACGTCAAGAATTTTGAAGTGTCGGTGCTTCATAGGTAGGAATGGTTGCCTTGGAACGTCGCTTGTAAGTGAGGATAGTTGTTGGGGAGGATCAAGCTGATCATGATCTGGCAGAGAAATGATGGGTTCCTCATGATCAGGCTGAGTAATTGTAGGTACCTGTAAAGAAGACAAAGGGAGACCACCAAAGCATGGTATCGATAAGGCCTCAGAGATTACTATAGGATCAATGGTGTAAATGAAGTAGGGTGTGTCTTCGAAAAAGGTGACACTGGCAGAGATATACCGACAACGAGCGAGAGGAGAATAACAACGATACCCTTTTGCTATCGAGAATAACCAAGAAAGACACATTTCATAGCACGAGGGGATAACTTGTCCGCCTAGGAGATAGATCATGGACAAAACAAGTACAACCAAATATCGAGGAGGAATTGTATACAAGGGACTTTGAGGGTCTAACAACTGAAAAGAGACTTGATGATTGATAGCAGAGGAAGGCATACGATTAATCAAATAGCAAGCAGTTAGGATAGCATCCCCCCAAAATTGAAGGGGCATATGAGCATGCAACAACACCATACGAGTATATTCAGAAAGGTAATGATTTTTTCTTTCGGCTACTCCATTTTGTTGAGGGGTATGCGGACATGATGATTGATGCAAAATCCCATGAGATGACATAAATGATGAGAAGTCAGCAGAGAAATATTCTTTGGCACATAGGAAAGACCTCTGAACGTTCCTTCATTAAAAATAACCAAGTAGTACATAAAGAAAACTCAACAATGAAAGTCACAAAATATTTAAACCCAGTTGGTGAGAAACACTACTGGGATCCCAAACATCAGAATGAATAACAGAAAAACTAGATGTTGCTTGACTATTGACCTTACTAGGAAAGGAAGACCGAACATGCTTGCCAAGTTGACACGACTCACAACTGGACTTTAGATTCTCAAGACCAGGGACCATTTTATTAAGTTTTAATAAATTGGGATGACCAAGACGGTGATGGAGAACACTAGGAGATTCCACAGTAGCACATGCCACATAAGAGGTTGATTGGAGGTAATAAAGTCTTTGTGATTCATGTCCAATGCCAATCGTCTTTCCTGTACCACGATCCTGGATAACAAAAGAATCAAAATAAAACGAGGACAAGTAGGTGAAGAAAGAGAATAGAAGAGAGACTGATTACCAGCTACATAGTCAGGTCAGCTACATAGTCAGAGGCACCTGAATCAAGCTCCTTCACTTGACTAAAATTGTTGTTTTGCGTTTATATGAATAATTTATTTGTTATGTGAATGGGTCATAATTAGATTGCATCATGGATTTGTTCATAAGAGACAAGTAGATGAAGAAAGGGAAGAGAAGAGGAGACTGATTACCAGCAACATGGTCAAAGTCACCTAAATCAAGGATACAGGGTGTGGAATTATTACCCGTATGAGAAATACAAACTGTAGGGTTACCCGAGTGAGAAACAATGGTAGTAGAGGATTGGGTCGGCTTTGCTGCTTTCAACTGAAGAAATTCCTGAAACTCCTTTTCTGTAAAAGAAAATGACTGCTTACCAGAAATGTCAAATCTCGTTCCTTCTTCTAAACCAGGTTTAGACTGAGTGAAGTTGACAGATTTATCAGGGAAACCATGTAGAGAATAACATGTATCCTAAGTGTGACCTGATCGCTTACAGTATGTGCAGTGAAGATTGTTGTTGCGACCACCACGACTTCCCCGAATCCTCGTCCACCACAACCTCCACATCCTCCACGAAAGCCAGAGTTAGTCACTAAAGCGAAGCTGAAGTGTCAATTATGTTGGGACGCGGATCCGAAGTAGTGGAAGTGGGAACCCTAAAGAGGCAAGTGGTAAGATAGTCCATGGTGGGTACTTCGTGACTAGTCAAAAGTTGATCTCGAATGTGACTAAAATCAGGATGCATAGCACGTAAGACTATGACTACATATAGATTTTCCAATTTTTCCAACAAGCCTTGATGACTGTCAACCTGCAAAAACATTTTTAGTTCCTCCACTGCTGCCTGCACCTAAGTGGCAAATCATGTCATGACTATCTTGGTGAAGATAAGCCAATTTCTGGGCTACATCATACAGTCTTTGAATGTCATCAGCAAAAAAGCTGCGAACTTTATTCCAAAAAGTGACATGTTTTAAAAATGCGAAAATTAATTAAAATTGTGGGTTCCACGGATTGCCATAGTAAGGCACATAACTGATAGTCAAACCTTTCCCATTGACTTCGTTCTACAGGAGGAATATCAGAAACTGACTTTTCAAGATGGTCTGAGAGACCTTGACCAAGAAACCACAGCTCAACAGAAGAAGACCAAGCTAAATAATTCTTACTATTTAACTTTTCAGATGTAATTGTTGGTGAACCTGAAAAAACATAAGCAACTGGAACATGACGGACCAAATTGGTAACTCCGGATGAAACAAGAACTTCAGGTGAGAGAGGAGTTTTAGGACCAGAAGAATCTCCATCATTTGAAGCCATATCTACTCCAACAAAGGTAAAAACAGAACCAAATCGCACAAAACAAGGCAGAAATGAATGAAAATCAAACAAAAAGTGGATTTGGATGATCCACTATTGAAGCAAACCGGAATAGAGCAACACAGTACTGGAACAAAAAGAGGAGACCGAGACGAGCATGGCGATCTTCACAGTGAACGGAGACGACCAAGACCAGTGGAAGGCGGCGCGTGGCCTTCACGCGCTCGAAGCTGGTCTGCGCGTGGGCGTCACGCGCTCGGACTATGACAACGCGTGACGTCGTTTCTGCCGGCGACGAGCTCCAATTCGGGTCGTCGGATATTTCTGATTTGCCTGGAGTGGTTCCATCTTGATTCACCGTGGTTTTGGGATGTGTATAGGTAGAATATATTTGAAACAATGAAAAAGACGACAAATTTTGGTTCCTGAATGAACTAAGCTCTTGATACCATGAAGAAAGGAATATTGGAATTGCTTAGAGAGGCTATAATGAATACAATCACTAATAATGTACAAGCACTAATAATGAAAAACATGGAGACCTATACTGGAAACCCATTCCTCAATTATACAACAAAGCAAATAATGAAGATAATAGATAATGAAGGTATTCTGACAGAAGGAAATAAAAAAAAGTAAACTTCTTGAAAGACAAAATGGGAAAAAAGTCCCTGCCAAACTTCCATAGTGTATATGACAAAGAAACACAAAATTCCTAAAGCCCAAGCACCATAATGAAGCAAAGGATATAAAAGTCATCCTCCATTTAAGTACAAGGAGACACAAGTTTGAAACTTACACTAGAACATATGAAGATCACTCTTCATCTTAAATGCATGTTAGCAAGGAAATCCGACAACCTGATAGCATCATGTATCAAGTTAGTGAATTTCTTTTTAAAAAAAAAAAAGGAAGAGGAAGAGGAAAATTCAAATAGCACAAGGCCAGGGATAAGAACCAATGAAAAGGCATAGAGCAACCTTATGTCTTTGGCAATTACAGTGTCTCCATCTGCAGCCCCAAGATGTCGCAAAGCTACCTGCTCAAGACCACCATCTCGATATGCATGCTGCAATTGAAGATAACAGAAACCAATTAGGCTCCAGCCAATTCTATAAAAAGATAGCTCAAACCACCAATCGAACATCATTTTAAACACAATTCAACAAAGCCACGTCATAATTTAACACCAGGAAAGGGAATAGAAATTGTATGCCGGCAAATCTAAATATACTTAATAGGTACCTGAAATAAGTTGCAGCCATTAATTCACTAACTGAAATTGGCTCATAGCAAACTGAATCTAGTAAACACATTGGTCTCTAATGGGAAAGATAATTTACTAGTGTGATAGTCTTAGAGCATAGAAAAACACAACTTCCATATGTCAGGAGAAGACATAATTACAGTGTTAGCCAGAACAAAAGTAAAATGGTCCAATCGTGGAGTAGTTGGGGGAGGGCGAGCGGATAAAAATAGAACTAGTTATATCCACGTATTTACCTTATAGAAACAACTTGTACCGAAAGGGCAGTTCCCATCCCCAAAGTCAAAATGCTTGCAATCAATCGACCTACAAATGGCATTAAACAATAAAAAAAAATCAGAAAAAGTTATTTTAATTCACTCAACTAAGCTATATTTTTCCTTATCAAGAAATATATGCTATGTTCATATGGCTTGCCATCAGCTTCCCCCTTACATGCAAACCAATGTAAGGGAAAGGAAACGGATGTCAAGCTGGAGTGCCATCACCCCTCACAACTCATGCAGCGTATAATGGTGACCCCTCTTCAAGCTTTAGTTGTGATTATGTCACAAATTAATTGGATAGAAATGCAAAAGAAGATATAACAAGATTTGTAAGTGCTTAAGACATTACTTGAGCTTTGCCTTGTAGCTGTCAATGATTTCCTGTTTTTCTTCACTTGTAGAGTACCAAATGACACTTGGAATGACAAAGTACGATAGCTTGCGACAGATAGGACAAGCTCTCAATGTGCTATTGACATCCATCCCCAATGTTGGGTTACTACTACGCCAATTCCTAATACAGGATATGCAGAATGGATGATCACATTCAGATAGCAGCCCAAACTTACGTTCACCTGCTGTAGGCTTTGAAAGAACACGCTCCAGACAAACACTGCATTCAATTTCTTGACTTTGTTTCAATGCCTCAAGATGCTTTTGCTTATTTCCACAAATCTTCATATGTTCTTCTCTTTCCTCAGGTCGGAAAGGATGCAAGCAGTGTTTTCCACAGGTGGGACATAGATCCCCATGAATATGGGGACATTTTCCCCCTCGTGGACAGTTTCCAGCAGCAGCAAATGAACAGATTGAAAGCTCAGAAGGTGAACTAGTTATGGATTGACCAACATCTTCTTCCCCTAAAAGATCGTGATACTCAAATTCTTGAGCCAGAGCCAGTTTACTGGGATGAAGGTAAGGACTGCTGGAAAGAGAAAACTCTGCAGCTGTAGCAACACCATTTGATGTAATTCTAGTATTACCAAATATAACAGAATCTGAAACCAGGGGCAGGTGTTCGAATACTGAAGAAGATGGAGTGGAGGACTGTGGTCGAGAAGCTTTGACATGATCATATCTGCAGCGACTACCATAAGCACAGACTCCTTTTTGATAAAATGTGCATATCTGCCACAACAAGACAACAAACAGAACCGATCAGAGAAATGTAAATCAATAACTACCAATTGGTGGGATTGCAGCAAAGAAGAGCTTGTATCACCAACATTATTTGGAGGGTCTTTCCAGTCATGAGAAAATTCACAATGCTCCCCTTTCAGACATGCTCCATGAGCAAAGAACTTACAAAGAACCCTAGAGGATTCAGAAAATAAGAAATTACACAAATAAGAATAGTCTGCAAGTTGCACAGTAAAGACAGTGCCAACTATCAGGGAAAGAAAAAGGCCCACATAACACTAGTCATATGTATAAAAAATCAAGGTCCACAAACAAAATCCTTCTAACCATATTTCCACAAAAGAAAACACCATGCTTGATTCAAATGAATTCATGATTAAAACACGTCAAGTGTCAATTACAATTATCACGAACAAGATAGCATTACCGAATCTCAGTCTCCTGCCTACAGAATTCAACATTGATATAAGTACAACACCCTGGAATGGTTTCCACATTTATTGCCCGTCATGACCATAGAAGTCTCTAGAACGACTCGTTCAAAATTATAACCTGATTGAGTTCCCACTTAAAAAAGCTATCGGGATATATTAAAAAAAAAAAAAAAAGGCTCGTGATTCTATCTTGTGACTTTCAATCCTTTTTTCTGAATTCTGATCAATGAAAAGACACCCAGATGAAAAAAAATAAAATAAAATTTGCTCTAGTTCGAACATCGAGCAATCAAGATAAAAAATACAATCAACAAAACATATATTAAAGAAATAACATAAATCAAAGTACCCCGCATATATCAATAATATCATGAAATGGGAGAAATTGTAGAACACAAAACTGAAACCCCACATCAGAAAAATCAATTGACCTAGAAAAACTATAATAATCTATCTCACCTCTTAGACATGGCGGATATTGAAAAAAGGAATCCTTAAATTATGCAAGAGCTGTGAGGATCAAAACCCTAAACCTCCAAGTGATAATTGGATGAAAAAAGAGCTAAATAGAAAAAAGGGGACAGCCAAAAAATGAAGGAGCCTAGCACGTGGGCTTTTGCAGCCACTCAAATTAAGAAAAGATTGAGAGCACCTGAGAAATAGTGTTGTTGTTGTTGGACGGTGAGAATAGGTTATAATAATAGAAATGTGAGGAAAGACTAGAGATTAGATTTAGATGGTAAATATAGAACCGCAACTAAGAGAGAACACAAATAACACGGCATTCCAACTTAGCACCGGCAACCTTCCAAAGTCATGTCCAGTTCATCAGTTCCCGATCTTGTGTATGTGACTTTGCTTTGTCGTCTGATCACGTGTCCTTGCGTGGTAGGTTGAACTGTATCTAAATAATATAGGATTTTGTTTTCTAAAAAAAAATAAAAAATAAAAATATAAGGTTTGTTGTTAAAGGGTCCGCACGACTATCTTTCAGATAATTTTTTTTTTTTTTAATTTATGTTTCTGAGAGAATAAAAATAGATAGAAAACTCGTTTGATAAAATTAATTTATTTTTTTATGGCTTTAATATTTCTACAATAAATGTAGATAAGTTATCTACATTCGCTTCCAAAACAACGTCATTTTGGATTGAAAAATTATAATGAAAAAGTCTATTATGTCCCTGAAATAAAGTATAATTACAAAAATACCTTGATTTTCTTCTCAAAACGACGTCGCTTTGGACTTAATGTAGATAAGCTATCTACATAGACTGTAGAAAAAGAAAACCCTTTTTTTATTCCTTGGATGAACCTGTTTAATTTTTGTGCTTGGGAATAGAAAAAAAGAAGAAGAAAAATTTGTTTTCGTGCACGAAATGAGAAACACTTCTCATCACTCTCCATCAAGATCATCACCACCACCACTATCCCGACATGACCACCATCATTATTGTCATCGTTGGCGTACAACCACCGCCATCGTCACCACCACGATGTCACTGCCACTATTACTACCATCATTACCACTATTACCACCACCATGCCATCATCATCGCCGCTGCCACCACAATACCACCATCACATCCACGCCACTACCACTATCACTACCACAATGCCATCACCACTATCATCACCGTCACTACCACCACCGCCACCATCACCAACCACCTCCATCACCACTGTAGGCACTGCAGTCACCACCATCATCGTGTCATCACCACCACTACCATCACCATGTCACCGCCACCATTACCACCACCATGCCGCCACCGCCACCACCTCTGCGCCACCGCCACCACCACTGTCACCATCATCATCACGTCATCAATCACTATCACCGCAGCCACTTGTAAACAAAGAATGGGTAAATAACAACACAAGAGGGGTGGATTGTGTTTTAAAACTTTTTGCAAATAACAAAGAAAAATTAAAAACCTTTTTTTCAAGAAATCATGCAAGAGAGATTTAACAATTAATAAAAATTCCCAAACCCTTAAAAAGATTCAAAACATCAAGAACAATGAATCATAGAGAGTATATGCAGCGGAAAATAAAAGAGTACGGAAAGAGAAGATAACACTAGGATATATCTTGGTTCACTCTCCACCACTGAGAGCTACATCCAGACTGAGGCCGATCGTTCCACTATCATCAAGCTTTTAACCAGTACTTGAAGAAACCGTTTTACAAGAGGAATTTTACAAGACTAGTGATCTACCAGATCACCTTAACCTAAATCCTAGGATCACTCCCTTTGAACCAAATCTCAATTGGAATTTTACAATATTGTGAGCAACCCCTTAATCACTCTTACTCTAAACCCTAGGATCACTCCTGAACTAATCACAGTAAAATAACCTCCCCAAATTCAAATAACATAGAAACAAAAGAAGTAGAAGAATTAAAAGAGCTTTCTCTCTCTAGAATATCAATTTTAAGCATTAATCCATGTACTTGGGTGATTTTGACTATAATGTATGTAATATTACGCTCTCTTATGTTTTCTAACCCTAAATATGATTTTATAGCAACCCAAGTCGGTTTAGAAAGATATAAAAAGATTTGATTCAGATTTAAAAATTATTACGTGATTCCTAACAGATATCCGGATATATGAGAAGCCATATCCGTATATTTGTTAGTATATGGATGTCCTAGAGACAATCTTTTGATTAGATTAGGACATATGTGGACCATTTATATTGTCGCAAATAAATAAAAAGCACTTTTTATCCTGTTTTATATTTTGTCTCAATATTATAGTTAATATTTTATATGAGTAACTGGATGAATCCCTTGGAGAAAATAGGTATCTCTTGAGTATCTGTGATGAGATCACGATCATGAGGATTCAAGGATACTAGATGTTTATTCCTAATTTTATGTTCCTAGTCTAGAGACACAGAGAATGGGGATCAGTGATATCGGGTAAGACTAGCACGACTTATCTACTTGTATTCAGATGCAAGGTAAAGACCTCATGAGCTACAGATATGAGATGTCTTAGCTAAAGTCGTGGGTGGACCTATAAGGGTATAGCTCGCAATGAACAGACCCACAAAGAGACTCTATGAGGAAATCTTACAAAAGTATCATTAGAGCAGTCTCTTAATATTTGGGTATGTCTTTCCTTAGACCATAAGTTGTCACCTAGACTGTGTTCTAGAAGGCATGTTTTGATTGTATACCTCGTCTGCCTGAAACATGGAGACTCATAGATATACTTTTGGGCATGTCCTGAAAGAGCACAGGCCTAGGGTGATAAGCTGAAGGAATTCGTCAAATCTCTGTAAGGGATTAGGTTATCTGTAAGGGATTAGGTTATCTGTAAACCGGAGAAATTAGGATGACATTTACAAGACTCGGGAATCTATGCATAGTAAAAAAGATCATGAGATGATATGCATTTAGAGTCCGTAAACTGAAGATTCCCTATTTCGAATAAAAGCTTACCCTAAACCGCAAGAGTTGATACGTATCCTCACCCTAGGTTTAATGGGAAGGTAACCGAGACGAAATAAAATACATACGGTAACCAAATATGTGTAATAGGATGATCAAGTCATTAATCTAACTAGTTCTGGGGCAACAAAGCATTGCTAGTGCTCTGTGTTGTCATTAAATGGGTTGTGGGCTTGTTGGGCTCGAGCCCATTTATGTCAGTGGTTATGTTGGACCTAATGGGTCACACACTAACACCTTATTGTCATGATGATATAGCATTAAAGGTATTGGGCCTAATAATGGTTGTTAGCCCAAGAAGAAGTTTGGAAGCCCACCAAAAGGGGAAAGGGCGCATGGATCATGTAATGGGCTTGGATTGTCCAAGACATTACTAATTAATTTAATTAGTTAAATTAATTATCAAATATTTAAATTTTGAATTTTGAATTTGAAATTTGAATTTTGAATTTTGAATTTTGAAATTTGAAATTTGAATTTTGAATTTGAAATTTGAAATTTGAAATTTGAATTTTGAAATTTGAATTTTGAAATTTGAATTTTGAATTTAGAATTTAAATTTAGAACTTGAATTTTGAATTTAAATGTTTGAACGTTTGAATTTAAATGTTTGAATTTGAATTTGAATTGGCTATGGAAAATTGTTTCATAACAAAAAGATAATATAAGATCTTGTTGGAACAAATCCCTAGTATCAAGAGGAGATCTTTGATCACATCCAAGGCTGAATTTGGGGCGCCACTTTGGTTGTTGTGAGTGTCATCTTGTCAACCAAATAAGTTTCAAATCAGATTTGGTTTGTTGAGAGAATCAGTGAGCTAGTTGGTTCAAATTTGAATGCAACTACACAACGTATCTGGACTATTTTTGGGGCTGAATTGGGCGCACCATATGGCTTGCCATATGATGTTGTTAAGTCATATTTTTTGTTAAGATATTGACTTGATATCATGAGGATATGATAGGAGGTTGTTGGCAAGATTTGATTTTGCAACAACTCCATTTTTCCTCTCTATTGTGCGCTACTTATGGTCAGATTTTTAGAGAAAAATCTGATCCAATTTTGATAGTTCTCTCATCTCCTTTGGTCATCCTTTTGTTAGGTTTTTCTTAAGAGGTTTTGAAAAGTAACCTAGCCATATATCATCAAATCCATGCGCCACTTTTGTGGAGTTTTAAGCTGAAAATTTCACTCTTCTAAATACCTTAACCTAGCCTCCTCCTTCACACATTGGACGCCTAGCAAGCTTTTGTGGTGATCAATTGGTGGCTTTTCAAGAAGAGGTCTTGCATCTTGACGTGGGTGGTGTGAATTAACGTTAGAGGGTTTGAACCCTTCAAACCTTACACTGATCTCCTTGGTGTTTGAGTCACAAACAAAGGTAACATCATGCTGTCTTAAAGCATGAGTCTTGATTGCATGTGTGATTCTGCATGAAAAATTTTGTTTTTCCCTCTCACATGCTTCGGCCTTCAAGGTCAATTTAACTTTCAATATTCTGGGTTATGATATACGGATACCATATCTAGATATGCAGTATCTGGATACACAATATAACACCTCACATTTCTAAATTATATATTAATATATCAAATGAGGATTAAAGGGATGAATTAGTGAAAATCTTGGAAATTAGGCTAAAATACAAAGAAAGGGTAAAATGGTAAATAGCCAAACACGCAACCCTAGGAAGGTAAAAATTGTATAGAAGGTTTCAAAATATGAAAATAATCCTGGAAATGGATTCAGAACGAAAAATTGAGTGGTTAGGCAAGTTTCAGAAAATTCAGTGAATAGTGTTTTACCAGGTAAAAATACTGCGGTACGATTGCACCGTAAAACGTGCCGATTGAGTTTTGAGCTCTAGGTTTTGAATACAAGTTATAAATGGTTTATAGAACTAGGAAATATGATTTCTGATGAAATTTGACGGAAATTAGTAAGTTTGGGGAAGCGTGCCTACGACGTGCGTGTTGCTTAAAACTGCATTTTCTCCGAACGACCGGGAAACTCAGGATTCATCTGATCAAGAGTAATTAAAGGACAATGGTTAATGTTAAAAATTAGAGTTTCTAAATAGGTTATGAATTTATGCACGTTTAGTGAAATCAGAGGAAAATTCAAATTAGTTTGAAATCGCGTGAGGTGGCGGTGGGGCCTACCTCACTTAGAATCACTTAAGACACCTAAGCAACACACTATTCATCATCACTTCCCTCATCCCTCATGAACAAACCCGCGGCCCTCCCCCTCCCAAAGCCCCATTTCACTTCAATTTTCATTTTCTTCTAACTCCACCAAATCTTAACCAAAT